GGGATGGGTGGGGAGAAAAGTGCAACAATGAATGAATGGAATTCCAAAATCTCTGTAGATGTTCATTGAAATTAATAATAATAATTTAAAAAAATTTTTAAAAGCCACTTTGTAAGTGCAGGGGTCCTCCAAGGATGGCAGTGCCATGGGAACGTGACTGAGCTGAGTGCAAGGTGGCTCACCATGGCCTGGTCCCCCACACCCAGGACACAGATGGTTGCTTTCACGTAGCCTCTAATGCCACTGTTCGGATCTTCTGGCAGGCTGAGGCCTAGCCACTCCCTTAGCAGCGTGTGACCTTGGGAAACAGAGTCATGGAAGATCAGTGCACTATCCCTGAAGCAGTCTTTATTTACAGGGTGGGAAGTTGGTCTCATGAATTCTGGTTCCCAGATAATGGCTATGGGCGTGTCTTCCAGAGCTCCTGAAGGAAAGCAGGAGTCAGCCTAATCATTGGGCAATGATAGTCCATCACAAGGCTGCCAATGAGTGTCTTTGTAAAGTAGAGACCCCTCTTTCCCACCCTAGGAGCCGATGGTTGCTACTGACCTGGTCTGGAAGAAGATATTATACAAGTATACTTTTCCTCAAACCCTAAGTCCAACCTCAGCCTGTTATGCTATGGTTAAGTCAGTGGAAATCTCTAACTTCAGTTCCCTCAACCTTGATTTAAAAAATTAGAAATCAAGTTCCAGGTTGCAACAAAATGTTAATATTTGAACCACATGCTAGTATTATAAAGGTGGGTGAGATATCATAAGGCATAGTAAATTATTACCAAGTATAGAAAATAATTCATGTGTTTTAATGTTCTGCCCCATGTGTTGGAGAGAAGAGGATGTGGAGGCATTTTGCCACCTGGCCTGGTTTTTCTCAAATGATACACATATTCATAACTGTTACTTACCTGGAGAATAGTAGACAAACCCAATATCTGTCTGAAAACAAAAGAATGGAATGAGGAATAGTTAAGACCTCTAACCATGATTTGTAATATACAAACATTATGACAAAGGAGAAGTCCTCTAACAAGACGGATTGACATGGTGACTTTTGCAATAGGTTCTAGTGCGTTAGAGATGATGAGGATGACACAGAATAGGCAGGTCGGCTGACCATATGGTTAGTATGAATCATACTTGACTCAATGGCATCTAACAACAACAATACTAGTTACCAGTGTTTCAGTACTTGTTCTGCCTTAACTCTCTTAACCTTTACCCAACTTAAGAAGATAGGCCTATATCACCCCAGGCTACAGAAGGGGATGCGGAATTCGAGAGAAGTGACCCAATTTTCTAGCTAGTTATAAGGATGCCTGGATAGAAAGAACTGTTAACACTACATGGTATTACCTAACTGACACAGGGTTCACTCTCCCCAGCCCTAGATGGGGAAAGCCTATCTTACTTCTCAGTAGGAAGGGAGGAAACCTTGGTAGTGTGGTGGTTAAGGCACTCAGCTGCTAACCCAAAGTTCAGCAGTTTTAACTCGCCACCTGCTCTGTGGGAGAAAGAGGAAGCAGTCCGCTTCCATACTGACCTACAGCCTGACAAACTCTATGGGCAATTTTACTCTTTCCTTGGGGAATGACCGGATGGCTGTGAGTAGGGGGAATGAGAAGATGGTAAAGATGAGAACTGGCAAGCAAACTATGTTGTTGTTATATGCCATCAAGTCCATTCTAACTCATAGTAACCTTGTACGACAGAAAAAGACTGGCCAGCTCCTGCTCCATCCTGTAAGTCAAGGTCTGCTTCAAAATTCAGTGATCCTCTCTATAGCTAATCGCATCTGTAAGCAACTGCCTTTCTGTGCATCAGAGAAGAGCCAGATGGTACCTGGCTACCATTGCTGAACGTTTTGATCAAAGAGTCTATTGAAAAATTTTGATCAAAAGGGAGGAAATGAAAGACAGAATTTCATATTCTTTTTTATGTTTACTTATTTATTTTTTTAAATTTATTTTATTTCATTATTTTTTGTGTGTACCGTCGAGTCAGATCTGACTGGTACAGGAGGAGATTGTTCCTCCTTCTCCAGCAGAGCATCTGGTGGATTCGAACCGTGCATCTCTGAGATTGCAGTTGCAGCTTCTTAGAATTTCATATTCTTGTAGATTCTAGACTTCCTGGAGTTATGGAAGGGAGAGAAACCCACAAAAAATATCTCTTAAAGTCTTCTGAAAAACAATAATTTATCTTAACTAGTAAGAAAAAGAAATCTGCCTTGAGCATTATGCTCTTTTAAAATATACTTGAATGGCATCAAAGTGACAACAGCAATTTAAAAGATTAGATAGACTTAGGCGACAGTGAATTCATGGTAGAGAAGCTATTCAGCAATAGAGGATGAGAATGATGGAGCCATGGGTTCAGTCACCAGTGCCACTGACTTGTGCTCGGAGGCTGTTGATGTGGTAGTTATGGTGCTGTGCATACTCTCAATGCGGAGTCCTGATGGCATAGTGCATTGTGTGCTGGGCTGCCAATCTAAAGCTTGGCGGTTTGGATACTCCAGCAGCTCCAAGAGAGCAAGAGGCTGTCTCCTCAGGAACATTCATGGCTACAGAACCTGACAGTGCATCGTATGAGTCACACATGACTTGAGGGCAGTGGAATTTTGGTTGAATCTCAACAGTAAAAGAAAATATTAAAAGCAGAAACAATAAAATCCCCTCAGTCGTCTTCATGGATTATGAAAAGACTTCTTAGATGCAGCACCTACAAGCATGGGTACATGAAAAAAAATTGATAAATTTTATTTTATACAAATGTAAAAATCCTGCTTCTTCTTCTTGTTCTTGTTGTTTTGGTTTTTCCTTCTTTTTGTGTGCAGTCTAATCGGATCCAATAGGCACAGGAGCCAGTGGAGCCTCTGGTGGATTCGAACTATGTATCTAAAATCCTGCTTCTTGAAAGACACCATTAAGAGAATGAAAAGACAAGGCACAGACTGAGAAAGAATATTTGCAAATCATATAAGCAACAAAGAAAGCACTTGCTTGCAGACTTTAGAAGGAACTCTCTCAACATACACACATAAACAAGTTCACAGTGGGTGCGTCCATTCTGCCACATTGTGATCCTACTGCGGATTTCTGCAGCTATAGATTTTAACAAGAGGACCGCCTCTCTCTCCCTCAGAGTCACAGGTGGGTTCGAACCATGGGCAAATGCACAACTGCAGACTATGCCACCAGTCTGCCTCCATTTACATAAAGCTCTAGAAACTTCAAATAAAGCAGGTCTGTGATAGTCTGGGTGAGGGGAGCAGGCGGCAGTAAAGAAGCCCAAAGGGGTACAAAGACCCCTTTGGAGACAGCTGTTCTCTTTTTTTGGTTACAGTGAGAGTCCCATGAGTAAGAACTGAGGTCCAACCTTATGAAATGGTACACATTATATGGCTACAATTCACTGCATGTTAATTATACTTCATGAAACCGTAAAAACCCAGCAAGGGAACGAATTAAAAAACTGAAGCATAGCTCTTGATGGCGATTACTCACAGCTGGTAACAAGAGAGAGCCAGACAGAGGTCCTGGGCCTCCTGCCAAAGTTACCTTGGGAGGGGAAATACCCCAAACAAACAAAAACTCCTCCCTAAACCTGAGTCTGACCCAGCCTCTAGACAGAAACAGGTGTGGGGACAAGTTCAGTAATGCCCAGGGACATGATGCAATTCAGTAAAATCCTAACTTAACAGGACAAAAAACAAACTGGAGGGGAGGGGGGCAACCGACGAGTAAGAGAGACTTCAAATGCATTGTAACTACTTGAAATGTATGGACCTGCTTGACCCCTGAACTTGAAGAAAGTAAAAAAAACAAAAACAAACCCACAACAAACTTATAAAACAATTAGAGAAATTTGGACACTGAGTCAATATTTAATGCTATCCAGAAACGCTCTGATCTTTCGATGTAGTAGTTGCACTGTAATTGTGTGCCCTAGTTTTCAGAGGCTGTCAATCACACAGAAGGAGATTGTCTATCGTTCTCCCTCTGAGCAGCTGGTATATTTGAA